CAGAGCTTAAGCATAGAAATAGAGTATCTCAGAAACTCTATTTAACATGAAATGTTGCTCTTTGCTCTTATTTTTTAATATTTCGGCTCTTTCTATCTAATAAACTCCTTTTTGCTGATATACTCGTGATTTTTTTGCATCTTCGTCTCCCTCGCTGCGGAAAGCTATAATATCTAAAGGGCTGGGTGTTTTTACCCAGGAGTGGATTGCTGTGCTATGAATCTATAATGTAATCCCCCTACATGAAAAGACACACATCATTCAAATGCTACAGTACATTACTATTTCAACCCATCAGATATGTTGGAAAGCTCATGCATGGAAATCTGAGAACTGTGTAAGGTAGAGAGAGAGTGTGTGTGAGTTGGTTTGCTTGTGCATGTGTTTTATGTATACGTATATATATGTTGACATACCAGTATGGTGCAGCACAGGCATGGTGTGTATATGTTTGCAGTTTTGTGCATGCATCTATGTATATCTGTGTGTGTGTGTGTGTGTGTGTGTGTGTGTGTGTGTGTGTGTGTGTGTGTGTGTGTGTCTGTTTCAGTGTATACGTGTGTTTTTGGTGGGATTGGTTTAGTGCATATGTGTGTGGTTTAGTGCGTATACTGTGTGTGTAGTTTTATAGATAGGAGCTGTGTGTGGGGGAGGAGAATGTGGAAGTGAATTATGCCTTTTTCAGAGGGGAGGGGTGCATATATGTATGTGTGTATGTGGGGGATGGGCAGATCACACACTATATGTATGTTCACTAAGCATGTGTGGGCTGGTTTGTGGTGTGTGTGTCTGTGTGAGAAAAAGGAGAGAGAGTGAGAGAGAGTGTTTGAGAATGCATGAGAAACAGAAAGCGCATTTTATGATACCTCTTTGTATGTGTATAAACTCTGCAGTATGTGTGTGTATCCCCAATGTATGTGTGTGTGGACTGTATAGATATGCATATATGTGCAGATGTGTTACTATAGAGAGTATAGAGTATAATTGTCTGCAGGTACTTTATGTGTGTAAGTGGATTTTTATATTTGATGGATGTGTGACCATCTGTTTAAGTGTACTGTATGTGTGTGAATTAGTGATGTGTACATGCATGCATGCATGTGTGTGTGTGTGTGTGTGTGTGTGTGTGTGTGTGTGCGTGTGCGTGTGCGTGTGCATATGTGTGTGTGTGTGTGTGTGTGTGTGTGTGTGTGAGTGGGTTGGAGAGAATCTCTTTGTTTTTGTACATCTGTGTACATGTATTTATCTCTTGATAATGGAAATATGTTGTTCTGTCATTAAAGATCATCATTCTACTTTAGTTTCACAAACACACACAATCTGTGTTATTGTTCCATCTACTATATCTCCCCTCACATTAGATCATTCATGGTTGCTCCTGTTAATGATTTAAATGACTTGAATTATACAACTATTTATTCTTTTTCAGAAACTGAATTAAAGTCTGTAACATAACGTTTTAGATTTTAAATGAGCAAGATACACAAATCAAACTTAACTGTAGGATGACACTGGAAGGTCAAAAAGGTACCAAACAATACTGGTTTAACCTATAGCCTGAAGGTGTTTGCTGTTTAAAATGCAAGCACATTAATTTATTCTACGAACAATATTCAAGAACTTTTACATTTTACATCAACAGAAGCAGCAACAGTGGTTTGAGTGAAATAAATACAAACTTTGTAGATTAAATGTAAGAAACTACAATCCATTCCACCCAGGATGTCATCACATAAAGTTAGAGGGTAACTACACCCTCAAGTTCTGCTAGAACCCTGGGGGTTGGGGCAACATATGTTAAACACCTGGGAGTGTTGCCTATTTTATCGTTGTTATTTCAGGAGGGGCAAAAGAATTTGGCTGAACCAAATTTTCAAATCCAACTGGAAAAATCATGTATTAACAACATGAATCTATGTCATTATTTGTGAAATTCCTCTTGAAGGCATTACTGACGCTAAGGGCTGGGTTGTGCTCAAAGGAACTAGTTCGTACTACAAGTTGTGTCCAACCTCTTCTAAAGGCACACACTGGAAGGCCGGCTGTCATAGGAAGGAGGTACATGCAATATTGCTTAAATATCCTGGAAGGCATTCATAGTGTTGAATTTGGTTGTTGACATGAAAAGCTCAGCCCGCACAGCTGGACAATCACAGCATAGCGTAGGTCGGAAAGTTACGGAAATTGTCGGACGCCCCCTTTAATCCGACCCTGGAAAAGTTTGTCTGGGGTTTCTGAAGCTACTCAACCCTCCGACAAACAGTTCTCATGAAGCATATTGGGAGCTTAAGTGCAAAACACAAAGAGTTGTCAGAACTCCCCGATAAAGTCTTGAACAAGAATGTCCACTGCGGGCACAGAGGGATGCTGTTGTGGCTGGTAATCCTTTTAAGTCCCCCAATTACTGAATACAGGTCTGCACAGAGAGAGCCCAGGATGTGGAGAACAGAGTGCATATGTTGTCCTTCTATCAGATGAGAAGGATGGAGCGAGCATTGTAAGCAACAGAGGTCGTGTTGGCAGGTGTTTGAGCACCTTATACTAGTCTTCTAGTAACTACATAGTAATCTCCATGAACGGATATCTGCAAATGAATGCAGAATCTGTAGGCAAGGGACCAAGATTTCAAAATGCTTCTGATTGCCTCAGAAGCATTTGAGTGGGCTTTGGTTCCATGCAGGTAAAAGGTCAGTGTGGAGAGCAAAAGAGGCGGAACACATTGGCTGAAATGCTATTTCGGAACCCATCGATTATCGTCTGACAATGATTTAGTTTTTTTTGTTTGTTATCTGTTTATAGAGATTGGCTGAATTTTGTCTTTCTCATCATTGTTATGTATCAAAAGGAAGTCTCTGTAACATTGGCCAGTGCCCCCAGAGGCTAAATTGTCTTCAGACAATAGCCAACAGGTTCCAAGACTGGATACTTCAAACTCACAGTAAATGCACATAGATACCTTAAAATGTCTCATCTTACAGCTTTCCCTCGACAGGAGACATGGTGAACAACAAGGAACATAAGCCTTAATTACGTCTTTACTAGATCCCAGATGAGCCTCTTGTTGAGGGAACAGCAGCTGTTGGAACCCAATCTGGCATTAAAATAATGACATCCTAATGGTGTAAGACCGAAGAGAGTGGTGGACAGTGAGTGTTATGGGCTGCCCAAACCACACATTTATCATAACTCAGCTACATCAGTTGTTAGTTGGAGTTGGAAAGCATTAGGTGGTCTTTGCGAGGCCTGTATTCATGACAGCCGAATGTCGTTGGCTGGGTCCATTTCTCAAACACACACAGCTCGTTCTTGTTGATCTCATTGTTGGTGCAAGCGAGGACGTATCCAAGAAAGGACACAACAGTGTGGATCTTCAGCTTGATGGACAGATGGGTCTTCAGCAGCCTCTGCAGTGCTTGGTGCTGCACGAAGAAAGCTGGAAGCGGCTGGAAAACTGTTGATCATGGCTCTAGTGCCCCAAGAGAGGTTAATGGATCTGTTGGGCTGGAAGTCAATTGATAGCTTGTATTGCAAGAAGAACTGTTGACAGGCAGGAATATGTGACTCAACAACCTTGGGGAGGGGGAGACCCAAGACTGCTGGTGAAAGAAAACTGAGCAGATGCTTCTGTAGATGTGCAGGAATTGAAAAGATGGTAAGATGTAAAACTGAAACACCAGACAGTATGAGACTCAGCTGGATTAACCTGTTAGGCAGTGCTGGGGGGAAATTTGCTGTTGGACCCAAATAACACCCCCACCTCCAGCTGTCTGTGTATACTGTACAGTATGTTACCTCCAAATACAATGACTACATCATGTCCCTGTAGATTCACTGCAATAATTTTACCACGTTGTTTGTGGTAATTTGCTTGAACACAACTTTATTTAAAGCTAGGGTTAGGTAGCATTGGAAAAACTAACAAGACACAGCTAGATTTTTTTAAGCATCCAACCAAAGAAATCCCACCCCCTCCCTTCAGACCTCCCTCCAAAGCCACTTTTCACACATTTTCATGAGAACACAGACCGCAGGTAGTAGGTAGGTAGACAGGTAGATTACAGAAGCACGGCAGCCTGATTTATTGATTGCTGTCAGGATGTAAACAAGATGTCAACAAATATAAGAAAAGATGTTTCTGAAAAACATCACCTACCCTAGCTTTAAGTGAATGCACTATGTGGGCACAATATAAATTAAAGGTCCAGTGTATAACATTTAGGAGGATTTTTTGTGAGTTTTGTGGCCACCATAGTTTCCCCTACACAACAGTCTGTTCTCATTCCCAGGTTGACAACAACAGACGCCAGCGGTGTTCAGTTACTTGCAATGTGCAACTTGCTAGATGCCACTAAATCTTACACACTGGTCCTTTACATTGTTTTGCTGATATTTTATTTTGGTGGAGGAAATTGAAAGAAAGTTATCAAATTACCAACTGACACACAAAGCACCTGGGGTTTGAGGCTTATTGAGGCTTTAGGGAGTGGGTTCTGCGCAGGTAGGTACATAGGACAGCAGACACATCAGTATAAAATAACTATTTTTTTCCTTTTGAATGTTTACTGTTGTGTTGTCTGAAAGCATTAATTAATCCTTTTAACTGAAACATACATCCACTCTGACAAGCAATCTTTATTTAGGCTGCAGAAACAGCTGGCTGGACCTTTTGACACTCTCTCCCCCTCTAGATGGAGCACACTGCCGCCCGCTCATCCTCTTTGTCAAGGTGGAAGGAAACTGAGAGTAATGCTTAATGTTACTCTCAAACTAAAATGTTTGCGTGTGCATTTTTTTCAAGCAACGCGCCACTAAAGCGTCTCGTTGTAGTTAATGTAATGATTCGTAGACGGTGTGAATAAGTTGTGTTTGCTTTGTCCTTCCCGTGCTCTTGTTTTTCTCCTGACAGAATCTGTGCTTTTATTTTGTGAGAAAGTGCACTTCCGGGTTCGTTGCGGCTAACTGTTGCTAGCTTGACGCTGGAGCTCTTTGTATGAGTGGTCCGCGAGGTACCACAGCAGCACCGAGCACACGCGCGGCAGCAGCAGCAGTAGCGTCGGAGGAGCATTAAAACACAGAGTCCCAACCAGGGACAGACAGGGTCCAGCAACATCCCCTGTCCGAACCACGCACCGCCACGGGACACACACGACGTTAAACGGAGGAAAAACAACGCAAAAAAAGTTACGGTTTTTTTTTTCAACGTCAGGTAAAAAGAAGTTGGTTTACCGGGAAGTTTGCTGCTCACAGCAGCAGTTATTGGAGCTTGAGAGCCGGTGTGGAGAGGAGAACCCCAACCTAAACTTCACTGATTCCATACGCTTGCTTTAGGCGTATTTCTCAGCTTGAAACCTGCATTTTATTCTCTGAAACAAGCCTGTCTCATTGGACCGTGGTCGTTCCTCTGTTTGGTCACTCAGGGACTCACCAGAAAAAACAAAACCTTTCAACTTTGTAAAAGGCTACCTCAGTGGTTTTGACACACACCGAGATAAGAGAAGAAAGAAAGTCGAAGAGGACAGACGGAGAAGTGGATGTATTTTCAGCCATGGATGTAACAGTTTACCCGCCTCCTCCTCAGCCTCTGGCCGCGTCAGACCACACCAGGCTGGGGCAGCTCTCCTACCCTGACTCGGCCTTTGGGACCAACAAGGTAAGCAAGGAAATAAGTAGACGAGACGAACGCCACGTTTGTGGTGTTGTATGTTGAATACTTTAGCTATCTCCTCTCTGTGTGTACTCGTATACCTTGCCCTGCCAATTAAGTGGTAATTAATTGCGTTATTGGGCTCCAGTTAATTAACGCAGCCATCGAAGGAAACTACATTCCAGTGTTAATCATTTCTTTCGATCACATCCGCTCTCTGGATGATACACAGGCTGTAATTTTAGTTTGTTGTCAGTGGTGTACTGACACCTTTAATTAAAACTTCCCTGCTAATTGAAAGGTAATTAAGTTTGAATAGAATACTTGTGGTTAGAATGAAATTCATGGCAAGTAATGGTGACAAGGATACACATTGTTACCGTTTGATATGCATAAAATATTGTATATTTACTGGAGTTCAAAGCACTGCCTCTCATTTTGGTTTTGTCATACTTAAGTTAATTGGTGTCTGGGAAGCTCTGTTGTCTTTCTCCCTCCAGAGCAAGGTCGAAGGTCAGGGTCAGATTCACAACTGGAGCTGGTAGGGATCCAGTGTCTTGCTCTAAGACACAATCTTAATCAACATAGGACAATCTATCTATCTATTTGTGCAAAGGGCTGTTTTTTTCAGAATAGGGTGTTTGGGTAGAGACACATCGAGGCCATGCTCATTTGACAGTGATGAATTGCTTAATTATTTAACTAGGTGCTGCTGATGAGTGCAGCTATTAAAGTTAGCGACAGATTATTAACCTCTCTTCAGTCTTAAAATAGAATACATTAATTTTGTCATTTAATGTTTGTTTTTTTATAGATAAGCAAAAATACATTTCTATTCATTGAAAAAAACAATGCTAAAAATACCTTTTTTAAATAGCTAACAATAGTTTCAGTGGTTTTTTTTTGTCAAACTGTGGCAAGCTGCAGTATGGAGTCTTCTGTTTATTGTTGTTACATTTTAATTAGCTTTATTGACATGACATGTTCGTGTTGCTAAAGCATTTAAAGGGAAGTAATCAAAATATTCTCTCTTCCCCGCACAACAGGGCTGCATAAGAAGCAGGGAAATAGCATCACGCAATATCCTTTACACCAAAGTGACTGACTCTCTCACATCACTTTTACTGGCTGGTTTTCATTCTTAGCGTGTCTCTGTCATGGACTTAGTGGACTGAGTAATATCAGAATATACTGCGTTCACTGACTGGCTGGTGCACAACTTAATGATTGATCACATTATTCACAGGCCGGTTCCTACCCTGCCTGCTCACACTCATTAAATGTTCCCTCACCACATCGCTGACAGGCTGGTTTTGCCTCTGTCGAGCCCCTCGGCAACAGTGTGGTGTTGTGGTTACAGAAACTTTGCTTTAACCAGAAAAGCTGTGTTCTTCTCACCATCTGCAGCGGGCATCCACCATTGTGTGTCACCACTGTACTGACTTTAGCTGCGTCCAAGTTCAATGCTGCGTACTAATTTTAAGCATGTTTTTGGAAATTTTAGTGTGTTTTTATGGTGCTGTTAATGGACACTATCTGCAACTCTATCTCCATGTTCTTCAGCGACGCAATGTATAGAGACAATGGAGATGCTAGCTACAGCTGACAACTAAAATGAATTTAGGAGAGATCGCTCCAGAAAGATCTTTGTTTGACTGAGCACAGATGTTGCTTACTTGTATAGTAAACAAAGTAACAGCAAAAACTGTACACTATGACAATTATTATACTGCGTATGTTCAATATGTAGTTTGGAATTGTGGTGCAGCATGTAATTCTCCCACCTCTGCACCTGACTGTGACCTCTGACCTCAATAAGTGCTGATTGGGCATTAACAGAATATCACATTAATGCCTTTATGAGCTAGATTGTAGCGGTTTGCTGTGTTTTATTTAACCCTCACTATTGTGTGTCATGTTGAATGACTGAAGTCACTGTGCGGTATTGCCAGCCTGCTGCTTTTAAGCTCAGAATCTAGCATAATGTGTAGAAATGCCCCTGCATGCAGAATCATACAGTGTTATTGCACTGCTGTGTTCAGTGAGTGCATTTGTTTCAGAGAGAGAGAGAGAGAGAGAGAGAGATGTGGTTGGGGGTAGGGACTGAAAAAAAAGAGAGAGAGAGAGAGAGAGAGTTGTTGGGGGTAGGGATGTTGTAGATGAGAGAGAGAGAGAGAGAGAGAGAGAGAGAGAAGTGGGGGTGGGGCCACTAAGGTTTGTACTATATTTCTCTCTGTGTGTCTTTTGATTCACGGCTCTGTCGGCCTGATAGAAGAGATCATATTACTGTGTGGGGGAACAGAGAAAGAGAGAGAGGGTATGTAAAAAGGGGAGAGAGAGAGGCACAGCATAGGAAAGGGGGAGAGAGACAGGAAGTAGGAAGCACAGAAGAAACAAAATGAGAGAAATGAAGAGGAATAGAGCAGAGAGGGTGTGTGTGTGTGTGTGTGTGTGCGCATATATAAGGGAGGGTGGGGGTGGGGGGGGTGTTAATGTATAGATTTAGATGCCAGTGGTGGTCTACATTCTCCAGTTTAATTAAATAGAGAAATTCTCTGCACTGTTACCTTTTGAGAAGGCAATATTTCACTCCATGTTGTTCTTATGATTATGAACTATGATGGCTAGGCTTATGTTAAAGGGATAGTTCGGATATTTTGAAGTGAGGTTGTATGAGGTATTTCTCCAAGGTCAGTGTATAACCTACAGTAGACGGTGGTCAGCACGCCCCAGTTTGGAGAAGCAGACAGGAGTACCAGTACAGAATCAGAGCAATGCACTGCTGTGGACAAAACCCTGTTTTAGTCATATTAAAAAGACCCAGCTAAAAAAAGGTCTACTTTCACCACTTTGCTGTCAGCCTTTTTCTTTAGCACTAACTGTAGAACTTCTATATTCCTACGCAGAAGCTCACTTGTGCCACATGCTGTATGACAGCTCAGATCTGTGCTTAACAGAAACATTTGGCCTTACTCTCAGAGGTTTTTTGCCCATCCTCTATAAAAGGCTATAACATTAATTAACCTTGTTTTTAAACCTCTTCCTCTTTTTCTGGGAGTCTCTTAGCTGAACCTAACCAATATGTTCAACTAATCAGATGCTCTGTAATTTAGTGAGGGATATGGCCATGGTTGCTGTCAAGGTCTGCCAGTCCAACTGAAAAAGCATTTGAATGAAATCTCAGGAAGTTCTGTCTCAGAAACTCAACCCAGTGAAAACAGTATGAAGTAATAGTCTGATGGTGGTGGTAAACACAGTGACCCAATGAGTGTCTCAGTGATCTGAGGACTTATGTAATCTTAAAAGGCTCCATTGCATCCTTTGACTTGTTACCTTTATAACAAGTCTTGATTGACATTAACTGGACTGTACAGTAAAGGGCAGATGGCGGTGCATATTTTCATTGCTACAGTGCTTACAGCAGCACAGATTTCCTTCCTCTGTCTCATCTTTTTTTTTTTTTAACTAACCACTGCTAACAAAAGCAACTAAATATAAAAAAGTGTGAGACTCTGTGTCCAGCGGCCAGCTCAGTGTCACTGCTGTGATGCATGTCTACGGTTCAGTTACATCGAGGGCTGGCAGGATGAACAGAAGTGAAGCAAGCCACGCTCAGCTCTGATTGGCAGTGCTGATAGTGAGTCTCCACAGATGTGAAAGGGACAAATTAATTTGATACAGAAGTTGATTAATCGTATCATCGCAATATCATAATGAGGTGACTTTAGCACCTCATTACATGTGTATGAAACTTCACTAGGATTTGTGCTGGAACAGTTTAGTAACATAACTACTGAATGAAACTTGTGAAAGAAAGAAAACGAGAAAGCAAGAGGGACAGAGATGGGGTGAATCGGGGAATTTAGTCGAGGAAAGGAAGGGTGGAAGAGGGACAGAGAGAGAGAGGGCCTAATGTAAACATGATGATTGTGAAAGCTGGGTGAGGTATTTCTAAAGCAAATAGAGAGGAAGAGAGAACATGGAGGAGAGAAGCAGGCCCTAGCAAAGAACAGGAAAATATAGATTGAAGGAGAGCGGCAAAACAATAACACAGTAGTCAGGGGATGGGATGAGATTTGAGAAGCACAGAATGATTGAAATAAGAGAAACCAGACTAATAGCAAACAGGGGACAGAATGAGGAAAGTCATCAAAAGTGTAAGAACTGTAATAGTGAATGAGACTGAGATCCTAGGTGTTCCAGGACTAAACTTTTGGTCGAGATCAGAAAGAGTCGCACAGCCATCATCTGACATCAGGAACTGTTCTCAAATCATTGTTTGAGTTCAGCACGTAGGCTGTTTAAACTACTCTCAGATATGTGCTCGGGTGTAGTATCATAGTTTTAAATCATTGTTATCGCTGAGAGGTTGCTGGTTTCAGCTGTGAAAGTGAACACAGTGCGACACAAAGTTCCGCACTGATCATTTTCCAGGAGACGCTAGTGTTGTAGGACGGCAGGTGTTGTGGACCTGCTTAGCAAGAAGAAGAAAAAAAAGGGAGGGGTTGAAAGTGGGGAAACTGTAACTTTATGCAAATTGATGCAATATTTGCCTGCAAGCTCCATAGTTATTTGAAGAAAAACTGACAAAGAAAATGTAATGCAGTGGTGGGACAGGAAGTTCAGTCGTCTTTGCCAGGGGAAGATTATTGAACACTTTTGTCACTGAAGATGGTTTGCCAGAAAATCACAGGTGTAAATAATAAATAATGAAATGAATGATGGCTGAATTCCCTTTAGCTGCTTCAGTTTCAGGGTCCCGGTATTGTTCATGCTGGCTCACTGTCATGACTCAATGCGACAGAGCTGTTGTTAATGTTATTAGTAACATGCTTTTCCCACTATGACGAGTCAAAATGTCTGCCCTGCCCAAAGTCACATTAACCATTGGGTAAAGTAATAGGGTGCCACAGCTAACAGCCAAGTTACTCGCTAGCTTGCAACCACTGACTGGCATTACGATACATATCATGACACAGGGGTTACAATTCAATATATTATGATAT